TTTTTTTTTTTTTTTTTTTTTTTTTTTTTTTTTTTTTTTTTTTTTTTTTTTTTTTTTTTTTTTTTTTTTTTTTTTTTTTTTTTTTTTTTTTTTTTTTTTTTTTTTTTTTTTTTTTTTTTTTTTTTTTTTTTTGATTACTGGCTGGTCAATAAGGTAGGCTATAGTTAACTCAAAAGATTCAAATTAAGGAGATTTACAATGTTGTATTTTTTTTATATTTTTATTTTGATTTGATATCTTTTAATGAGCATTAGGGAAAGTGAGTCATGGTCTAGGAAAGTACCAAAAAAAGCAAAGGAGCAAAAAGTGCAGTGAGCTTAAATCACTTCAGCCATCATAGTAGTTGCTTTTATAGCCTTGAGCATATGAGTCATCCCTCCAAAGCCCAGCCTCATGATTGATATCAGTCCCATGAGAAGAAGAAACTGGTAGTTCAATCAATTGGTATCACCCTCAGTTAAAAACTAAACCTTTATTTGTTGTTAAGTGGAGAATAGCTTTCTAACACCTCAGTTTGGGGAGACTCACTAGAAACAAAGTCTAATTCTAATCCCTGTGTATTTTTCTCAAACCAGCAGTGGTAAAAAACCAGTTGTATCAGCTTGGCCATAGAACAGGACGTGATGAAAATCTAAGACCCTTCAATTTTTGTTTTCCAGGCAGCAGCAAAGCAGCACCACAGTGTCCTCTCCATCTGTACACCACAAAGTGAGTGCTCGTGCCAAGTGCTGTGATTTAAAAACCGTGTTCTGCTGAACAGCCATTTTGTGCAGATTTCTGTCACCTTAAAAAACATCTGCCCTAAGCCCATCCACCTGTTCCCCCCCACGTCTCTGGCACGGGGAAGTAACTGCTTCTTAATCTTCTTAGATTTGGAGTGAAATGAGGTTTGAGGTACTGTGCACTGTGTTTTCATACCCCTGGGAAGCCAAACCTTATCAGTTTGAATATTGTTGCGTTTATGAGCGGCCACAGGGGGATATGTTGAAATGTCAGAGGCTTCCAGTCGCACTCACTTGTTTGGCAAACTCGAAACATGAAAAAGCAATGTTGATTTTATTTTATTTTTTTTTTTAAACTTGCATATATTTTGCACAGTCTTAAAATCCCCATCCCTTTAGGCAGCTTATTTTGATGGCTCATATCAGGAGCCACACACTGAAACAACCTTTTGCACCAGTCTAGGCAATTCCAAGTTCCCCAAATCACCATCGTGGTACTTTGGATGTTCTCAAGATGTCTAGAAGTGTTCCACTTGTGCTCTAGAAGATCATGTGCTGTAACTATTGCCTTAGACCCTCTGTTTTCTTGTTCTGAATAGACATTATCCCCATATAGTGACCGTCCCATCCTTCCCAGCAATGGCAACGTACGGCCAGGCTCAGTACAGCACGGGGATCCAGCAGGCTGCTGCCTACACTGCCTATCCTCCTCCAGGGCAGCCCTATGGAATACCCTCCTACAGTGAGTATCCCAGGTCGTGGTACCTTTGAGGGACACGGTCCTCTTGCTGCCAGGGAAGTGCATTTGAAGGTTCAGGCTTTACAGGTGGAATGTCGTTTGTGGCGCAGCAACGTTCTCTCTTTAGGCTCGGAGGAAAAGTCTGACTTGTTTAAAAATGTAGCAAGGCAAAGTCTCTTGCAGTAAATATGATATTTATATAAACTACACTTTGCTTTCCTTGATTCTTCCTGAAGTCTCAGTGGTGCAAGCTACTTTAGGAAAAACTTTCTGTACATTGTTACAGAGGAACCAAGACACAGAGCACACATCGGGGCGTGGGTGAAGTGACGCAGCGTACTTTGGTTTTGGAGGGTGGTTTGTGTTTAAATGGACACTCATGAGCTGTAAGTGCAGTAAATGTTTCTAACCCCAGTCAGCTTTGTTCCCTGCTTTTCTGCACAGCCTTGCCAGCAGCTGTGGGGAGACAGTGCTGGGCAGGAGCAGCTGGGGATTCACACAGGGAACTAATTAAACCAGCGCTCCTGACAGAGGAATGCCTGGTAAACCGAGCATCAGCAGTGTCCTCAAGCTCTTGAGGGAGCTGAGAAGTTCTTTCCATTCCTGAAGACCAAAGAGATGCTGCTCTTGTTTAGGTGCAGCTCTTTTGTGCTCTTAAGTTTATTTGGCAAATATCTCTTCCCAACAAGAAGCTCTTGTACAGCCATTGACAAGGCTTTTACTGAAGAGGGGTTCAGTGCAGCAGTCTGGAAGATCAGGGAAGTGGGCTTGGCAGAGCTGGAGCTCTACCAGGATGATGAGAAGAATGTTCTGAGACCCTCTCCTGGAGCTACTTGTGTGTCTGCATCAGCTGGCTGATTTCCAAGGCAAACTCTGAACAGTTGTCCTGTTAGAGCAGGTGAAAGTAGAGCCATTTGCTACTGCCTAGAGGCTTTAGGGCATACATGTGTCAGGCCCATATGCTGCTTATAAATCCTGTGGATGACCTCTTAGCATCCTTGAGCAGTGGTTTCCCTCCCCCAGCCCCTACACCCTCTCTGAGATACTCAGCACAGCCTATGAAAAACTCCACCTGGCTGGCAACCAAGAACAATGAAGCAGTATTGTTTTTAGGCACAAAAATAAAACCGGGCCAGTTTCTAGACAAAACAGAACCTTGTGTGGAAATTAATTTGGTGCTAAGTCATTTCGCTGTCTGACAACAATTTTTAGACTTCCAAAAAGGCCCGTTGGCCGAAGATGAATTGTAAGCGGGGTAGGTGGAATGCTGGCATGCAGAGTGCTGATGGAATTGAAAAGCATGGGATGTGAGGGAGAAGTGGCTTCTCTGTGCACGCTTTGCTTCCCCAGCAGCGATGCAGCCAGAATTCTGCACCAGCACGTGTTCCCTCCCCGTCCAGATAAACGCCCTGCCTTTCACTGTGCAGCATTATCTTCTTCTGGCTAACCTGGGCTCAAATTGCATCCCAGCTCTTCTCACCTAGGGCTAAAATAAGTGATTTTTATTAGAGAAAACAGGATCTGGGAGAACTTATTCCAAACCTGAGCAAGCTCGGGCTTGTTGCTTTTAGGAGTCGTTCGGCTGGAAAACAGCAGGTTTGGGGGAAAGGCACCTGAATTCCACTTGTCTTTTGCTAAAAGATGACAGCAGCCTGGGAAGTGTGTAAATCCAAGCCCCAGACATCAACAGGGTCTTTGTTTGGTCCCATCACTTGGGGAGCGTCCAGTGGCCATTGTTTGTTGTGTGCAAATAGACATGCAAGGGAGGGAAGGATCACGCCCAAAGGATTCGTAATAAGATGCACCTTTGAGCTGTTTATTTTAATAATACAGCTGTACAGCCTCGGCAGCCTCTCAGAATAAAATATCAACCCCTTTCATTACCAGCAAGGGTTTCATCTTGCAATGTTTAATTCAGCTATTGCTGTCTCCCCCCTGTAAATTGTCAGTTTAATTGCCTGGGTTTAGAAATTAAAAGATTTTCGTGGCTTCGGGGCTTACCTATTGCTCCTGAACTGTATGTTATATCCAACTGAATAAGTGATAACCCTCCTGTATGACTTGCCAGTAAATGTTTTGATACCAAAGCTGAAAATACAATGCAAGTAAAAAAAAATAACTCTGTGGAGAACAGAAGTCTTCAGGTTATTTCACTGAAGGTCCCGTTGCTTCATTAGTCTTTGCTTGCATCTGATAACTGTTCAGAAAGTTCATGAGTCAGTGAGTTTGTTTGATTCTAAAACCAAAGTATTTGTTCAGAAATTGTTCCTGAAGACAATATTCTTCACGGTTGTTTACCTACCTTAGGAGAAGTGCATTCAGCTATGGGTACAGGATGTAGCTGACTCAAACATTCTTTGTGATTTGTTTGTTTGACTGTTATTTAGGAGACCTGTTAGGGTAATGCATGTAATTAAATACACATGTATTTAAATATAAATGTATAAAAGAAAACATAGAAAAAAAAAGGGTTTAATCAGTTAAAATGTAGCTGGAAAATTATTAATTGCTAAACTTGCTTTTTTTTTTGCACCTTTCTGTGGCAAACACTCACGTTCTGCTCTTGGTTCCCACTGCACACCCCAAAGGCATTAAAACAGAGGACAGCCTGAGCCATTCCCCGGGACAGAGCGGCTTTCTCAGCTACGGATCCAGTTTCAGTGCCCCGACGGCGGGACAGGCCCCCTACACGTACCAGATGCACGGTGAGTACAGCTCAGGGGCTGGCAGGATGAGCTGGGGGCGCTCTGAATCTCACACCCCCACGCTGGACCCGTTCTCCTTCTGAAATTACTCTGGAAAGCTGCAGGCAGTCAGCACAGGGAAGGAGGTGAGTCTGTGGTAGATCTGTTTTGCTCATCAAGGCATTGATTTCTGGCTGAGGGGCTGGATTAACACTAGTTTACCCTAGCACAGTTTCACATAAAATCAATATAAGCGTTATCTTTCTGCAGAAATTGCATTTTCTTTTTTTTTTTTTTTTTTTTTTTTTTTTTTTTTTTTTTTTTTTTTTTTTTTTTTTTTTTTTTTTTTTTTGTAATTAGCTCTGTGACTGCATACCTGGGATTGTTGTGTTAGTGGGAATTCCTGCATTCTGAGCAGAAGCAAAACAAAAAGGTGGCTTCACACTTCATGCCCACAGTGTTACGCTTCTTCCTGCCTTGTGCTGACCTGAACAGGCTGCTCTGTGGTTAAATTGCTGTATACTCCCTCCACTAATTCTTTTTGAAGAAGCTGATACCTTGATACTAAAAAAACCCTCGAGTGACTCCACTGGAGGGAGGTGAATGCACAAGGATAAACCTCTCCCTCGCCTTTGTCCTCCCCTTTAGAGATTTTCCAAGGGTTGGAAATACCTCATGGCACGTGCTGGAGACCTCTGGGTTGAATGTGGCACAAAAAGAAATCAGAAAGGTAGCCTGTGGGTTTGGGTTTTTTGTCACAGTGACTCCTACAGGAGTCCCACTTGTGCTCTCCTGTAGCTTACTGAGCTGTTTGAGCTGTTTGATTCTTGACTTCCTTGGGACTGAAGTTTTTAAGGTGGCCCCTTTGTTCAATCACAAGGTTTAGACCAGCAAATTTTGTGCATCAGCACTTGAAAATGTTACACACTTGAAAACAACAGTGACACAACCACGTGCTGTACCAAAACATGCTGAGAATGATGTGGATGAGCCCGACTGTTCCCTAGGGCGATGCTTTGGTATTTGGTGAAGTCACTTCTTCTCAGATATTTATCCCAGGAAGATCATTTCAGCCCCTTCACTAAGCCTTTAATGCAAAAGAAAACAGAGGAAGACAGTTCCTGCGAGTGGCAGGTGCTCACTGCAAGGCACAGGGGGGCAGGAGCAGACGTGTCTTCCTGTAAACAAGCATTTCCACCCTTCTTCTCCTTGCTCCTGAGAGGAACAGTCTGAAGCCCCCCTGACCACATGGTTTATTTACCTTGCTGAGTGCCAGCGAAAGGTTTGAGTGAGAAGGCAGGAGCCTTCCTGTGCTGAGTGCTGCCGAGGAATGTGGGCTCCTGGTGCTTTCCCACGCACAGCACCGGGGGTGGGGTGGGGAGGTGATCGCTCCCAGCTCTCCCTGCCAGCCACCTCCAGGACCACTGAGACTTCTGCCAAGTTCACATCACTCCTTTTGGTTGCCCTGTTGCTGGTGATGGGCTAAACCGGCTGAAAAGGGCAAATTTTTATCGATATGCTTGATCTTGGCTCACAGAATATTCTGTGGGAAGGGGCCCACCAGGATTCCCAAGTCCAGCTCTTAAGCAAATAGCCCAGGGTGGGATAGAACCTGCAGCCTTGGCATTATTAGCATATTTTATTAAAAACCAATTTCAGGGGGGCTTTGAGTGAAGCTCTTAACCTTCATTTGAAGGACAAAATGTTTGTTGCATCATGAGGAAAGAGAGATCACGAAGAGGGTGATGTGTAGGGGCCCAGCAAGGAGTGGTATCTCTGGCACCTCCAGAACAGCTGCTCGGAGTTGTGTTTTAAAGTGTAAGGAAAATAAAACCCTCTTTTCTTAAGCTGTTCTCTGCAAGTGTTGTAAGGTGGTAGTAGCACAAGTACATAAGTGAAATAACCTTGTGTTGTTTGGCTCTGTGGAGGAGCAGATCCCAGAGCAGCGTAGTGAACTCGTCTGCAGGTGGGTGCGGGTGGTCAGGTCGTGCAGCCCGAATGAATCCTCCTCACTGTCCCCTCAGATATGAGTTACATGGCCAGCAGCAGGTCAGTCCCCACTGTAGGGGTGTTAAATCATCACCAAGGAGTAACTGGCCTCTTGGGTGACAGAGCTTTGTCTCACAGGGCTCTAGGACAGATGCTGTCCTTCAGCAAGTGCCCACATCGTTGGTGCTGGTTTGTGCCCTCTCATGTTTGTTTGGCACCTGCTTTCTCTCCCTGCTGGCTGTGGTCAGTAAGCTGGTGCTTCTGGAGCCAAATCCTGCTCCCTCTTAGGGGCTGTTGTTTGCATTACAAACACAGGTGATGCAGGTGGAAAGGGGGGTAGCATTCAGCTTTTCACCTTGAGCTCCAGTTATATCCTGGTTCTTGAGTGAGAACAGGATCCACTGAAAAGCAAGACAAGCATAGAACATTCTTCTGGTCATTAAGTGGTAAAGAAAAAGAACTATTTTACAGCCAGCCAGAAGGGGAGATGTATTTTCGTGCTTCCATAGCATGAAAATAAATTAAATGTGGAAGAGTGTGTAAGCCAAATAGCTAATGCAATGTGCCAAACATATATATAAATATAACAGATGAGACTGGCAAGTTCCATAGCTCATAAAAATGACAGGAAGCTATATTGCAAAGGTAATGTAGATTGAAATAATTATTTTAATCACCACGTAGCAATGGATATAATAGTGTATCATCAAACTTCAAGTAACATTGGGACTGAAATCTTGTATTCCCTTATTTGCTCTGAAAGTGACTTTTTTTCTTCCCCCCCTTTTTTTTTTTTTTTAACCAGTGCTGTGTAAAGTGTTATTTCATGTCAGTATTTATTTTATAAAATATTATTTGTTTCATAGTGAGGATACTTGAAATATGCAAGTGGCCAGTCTGGGGATGGCGGTTTAAAGTCACGAATCTCAAGAGGAGGTAACAGCTTGCATGAGATTCTTGTCCTCAAAGCCATAAATTTGTAAAGCTGGTAAAAAAAAAAAAAAAAAAAGTTGCTTCAAGGTCTGTGCCATTTCTGAATCAGTCCTCATGTAAGTGGTTTACAATTGCAGCACCAAGTAGCCAAACACAAATTAGAAGTATATTGTGATTTTTAGCACAGGTTTCTCTGAGTTTGCAGTTTCTGACCGTTTAGCAGCTCAGTGGTTTGCTCAGACTCCTGGTAAAATTATTATTCAGTGATAGAAATTGAACAGGAGGCACAAAGATTTTATTCCAGTTCTGCCCCCAAACTGTCTTAACTGGCAGTCGGGGAGGCTGCTTGTTGCTGAGGGCGGGGGGAAATCTTTGGAATACAAGAAACTTAGCATTTAGTGAGCTGTGTAAAACACAAAGAGAAAGCTGTGCCAGCATATTCCCTGACACAGAAACCCAGCAGTTGTGCAGGGAGTGCAAGAGCAGCTTATAGAGCGTTTCCTGTGGTTGCATGAGCATGTGTTACCCCTTTATTGCACATCAGGCCATCTCTTCTCAGCTTGTCATTAATTCCTAGACAATGCCTTGCTCTTCAGTTATTACTGCTCAAATGACAGCTGGTATGAAACTATGAAGTTGCACAACAGTTAAAAAATGGCCAAGGACCACTGTGGATGCTGTCATTGGGCAGGATAACATTGGACTGCTTTTTTGGTTTGTTTTTTTTTTGTTATTGGTGTTTTGTTTTTTTTTTAATATCCAAATCTATCTACCCACAAAATACTTTTTACATTACAAGGGAAAATTCAGTTATGTAACTGGGATAACTTTGCTTTGCCAGGGAATTGAGTTTGGTACAGATATGAATTTGGGACCAAAGATCTGTGCAGTGAAATTCTTTGCTGCTGCTAAGCTTTTGTTTTCTTTGTAGAGTCCTTCTGATCAGCTGTCAAATAGTGAATAAGTTAGAAAGCAGCATTTCTTTTGTGCAGCACTGATTTAAAATGGACTAATTATATATCTTGCTTATGTTTGTGGAATGAATTGGTTATGGATTGTTTTCCTGGCCTGAGGCCAAATAAACTCTGAATAATTAATCAATTAAAATGTTGGGGTTTTTTGTGATGGAAACGTTTTGACCCTTGTTGATACCTGGATAATCTAGGCAAATTTTTTTCTAAGAGATGCCTGAATTTCTTGCAATTATGTGCCAGTTTGAGTGCTACAAATTCAATATGAGGTCATAAATAGCTATTTGGCATAATTAGTTACCTCTGCCTCCATGAATTCTGCAAAGGAAGTGGACGTTTAATTTTAAGCTTGATTTTTTTTAAATACTTGGTGATGAAAATAGTGGTGAAATTTCAATCTACACCTGAGAAATGTGGAGCACACCTCAGCATACAGATAGGGAATCCATAAGAAGTCCCAGAAAATAAGGGGGAGTGACAGAGCATGTTCTGAGCAAACTGCCACTCAGGTGCCTTAGATTCATCAAATTAAAACCTCAGTAGAAAACGAGCAGGCTCTTTCAGAAGGTTCTGCTGCACAGCTGGTTTGCATTAATTGCAGCCCGATGCTGTGGCAGCAGAGCTGAGCTCCACTCCGGGGTGAGTTCAGCAGGGAGAGGCCTCTCTTCAGGAGGGGTCAGACCTCACTTTTTGCAGTGTAAATACAGGGTTCCTTAGCATAACAGCACGGTCTCCCTTTCAAAGATTTTTTAAGCTCCAGGGGCTGACTGTGCTCCGCTGCCTTTGTTTTAAAACCAGCCATCTTCCAGGAGAGGGGAGGCAGGGGGAGAGGCAGAGGTGTTGACAGCGATGCTCTGGGAGCTGTGGGATCTGAGCTACTGCTGCCCACGGGGAAAGCTCTGCTCTGACTCCTGCCGTGGAGTGGAAATCAAATATTAACTGGGGCAGTCAGAAATAGGAGTCTCCTCTAAGGCAGAGAGCGTTTACTTTGGAGGTGTCTCGTGTCTGCTTGAGTTTTGTGTGTCTGGCTGTCAGCAGGATTGCAGGAGGTGACACTGGGGAGGTGGGACCAGGCATGGCAGTCATGAATGAGAGAGAAGAAAAAGAATAGTAAAGGGACTGGGTAAG